GGGATTTTCCCATACAACCATCTCTAGATTAATTCAAAAAACCACATGCAGACGAGCTACAACAGTAGGAGACAACACCTCCTGTCAGCTATGAACAAGATACTGAGGCAACACTTAAAACAAGCTCACCGAAACTGGACAACAGAAGACTGATAAACGTTGTCTGGTCTGATGACTCTTGATTTCTGTCTGGCTGCTGGTTTAATGCTGTAGGGGATATTAGTGTGCATCACTCTATGACAAAAGGAGGATAACGCACTATGTGACAAAACTCAAATAATCTAAAAATGGATGCCTGAGCATGACAGTGAGGTTTGCTTTACTCAAATGACCTCCACAGTCACCAGATCTCAGTCCAATAGAGCACCGTTGAGATGTGGTGGAACAGGAGAGAGTTCATCCCAAATAAAGTGTCCAGCAAGTGTACAAAGGAGTTTTTACACAGGATGCTGGGATCGCTGTGGGAGTTGAGAAAAGTGGGCACACAGGATTTGTTTTCTGTACCTTCATCATTACCTCAAGAACTGTAATAAGTCTGATGAGCTACTCGTAGGTACTTATAACAAATCTGAGACGATTACACATGTTGCTGACCTTTAGTGTTCAAACACACGCCTTACATATATACTTACACAGAAACGTGTTTCCAAGAAACAGCTTTGCTCCACCCGTCTCAATATATACTCATGTTGAATAAATCATTCAGTTCGGGCGTGTGATGTTGACTTTTCTCTCATTTTGCCACCCGTCTCTACAGGGTGTCTGTTCCTACTGGCTGCCGGGTGGCAAGACTTTCTCCAAGAAGGACTTTTGGTTTTAAAGAGACACGTTAAAACATGTAGATGAGCTTTTAGAGGGAACGGTAGGGCTGTCGCATTATGTCCAACTATTCACATTTCTATGAGACCGTCGTTCTGTCCTTTACTTCACCTTGCTCCCTTATTGCGACCTAGTTAAAAAATAATAATCACATGTTAAGCAGGTTTCCATTAAAGTTTAGTGGACTGTAAAACAAGTGCATAAAATGCCACTGCAGCTACTACCCATCATTTAGATTTCATATTAAATGATCCCGAATACTTCACATCACACCATAACCATTTTTAAGCAATCATTATTAGACAACCTGTACTCACAAATTTATTTTAGATACTTTTTCAGTTAGAAAAAATTTTTATTTTAAAATTTAAGGGATAAATTTCACTATTTAATGATTAAATCAATCAGTATAGATCTCCACACTGAAGATGAATAACGGGCAGTAAACATGCTGACAAATGACACGGTGAGGTTACACGGTGGTGGGAAACTCAGTCATCCTTTACCAGTCTGGGAGTGAGTGTGCCCACTTTTCTTTGTTTGGTGGTTGCTGGGTGGGCATCCCCTGTTCATTCATTACCTGAAGGCCTGCAGCAATTCTGCGTGGGATGTGAAGCGCAACAACAGCGCATTCCTATACTCAGAAACAGGGAGTGGGAGTTGACAGAGGTTTATTTCAATGAGCTTTGAGTTTGTTTAACCTCCTCGCTTTTCTTCTAGATCCAACACCTTGACAAGAAGAAAAAGAAAAATCTTGACCCAGCACAGTTTATGGCGGCAATCGCGCATAACAGTCGACTTAGAACGACCAAAGCTGCTTCGGAGTGGTTCAAGTGAAAGCTGAAGTAGGGAGGTCTTCATGCAAAACAGGAGTTCGGTTACAAGATAAAACTAAAAAGTGATGGTGACAGAAGGATATACAGTCTACTGAGCATGACTCATGACTCATTACTTAGCTGACCACATCCAAAGATTTCTGAAGGGCAGAGAGAAGAGAAAAGGATGTTTTGCTAAGATGATCTGAGCCTGACGTACCTGCTCTCCAGTCAAACCTGGAGAAGGAACTGGAAGTGCTGGCCATTCAAACGAACGTGGCACTTCACCTCCAGCTGTGCGGTTTAAAGGAATAGCTCAACACATACCGGAAATAAAAGCCAGTGTGTGCTTTGATTCTGACGGTAAAATGAGAAGATCAAAGCCAGCGCTCAAGTCTGTACAGTAATTGTGACGCGACAGCCATTAAACTGTTAGCTTAGCTTAGCTTTAAGAACAAAAGCAAAAGGAAAGTAGTGGTAATCATTTCCTTTTCAAAATGAAAGGTTTAAATAAACATAACACATGGTGATTAATTTTATGTTAAGCTTCAGTTGTTCCGTTTGTTATGAACTATTAAAGGGGAATTCCCCCTCGGTTTTTCCCATTTTAATCCTACTAAAAGATTTCTTTTTGTTTTTTGGGGAGGAAGTTCCTTTATTCAAGCGAGTTAATATACTACAGACATTGTAATGTGCTAATTTTGGGCAATAAATATAAAACTGTGCAACAGTCTGAATCCTTTATTTTGTAAAATATCTTTACTCTAAGGATTTAAATTACAAAAAAGTACTCTTTCTTAAGGTCTTTTAAAGGTTTTTGTTTTTTGTTTTTTTTTAACATTTGCTGCCTTTTCACCCATTTTCAGTCCAGTCCTTGTACCTGACCATTTTCAGAGGAATGCTTTTTTTGTTGTTGTGAAGCCACTTATATCTGACCTATGACTCATTGAAGCATTAAAAAGCCATAAAACTCAAGCAATGAATCATTGTTCTTTCTGTGCATAACTTAGCAAAGAGACAGTTTTTTTCCCCCCTATCTTTAGGAACTTTGTTACTAGCCGCCTGTCAGAAAACACACTGCTTCTTTACTTGAATCTAATACCAAACAAATAGCAGTTTGACAAACATAAAGTTGTATTTTTGACAAACACGGTAATTCCTAAAGAGATAGCAGAAAATGGGCCATGTTGCTTAGTCTGTCCTTAAAGTTGAGGAAACTAGACAAGTGGAGAACAAAGGAATAGGTAGCACAACTAAAAAACATATCTACAGCAGATTAACAGCATGTGAAAGTCTTATCCTTAAGAAACAGAAAAAAATCCAGCAAAAACCTGAGAGATGCATCTGGCCCTTCATTTGATCCATCACGGGGAGAACATGCAAACTCTGCACAGAAAGATCCCCACCTGATGGTGGGATTGAACTCAGGACCTTCTTTCTGTGAGGCTAACCACCATGCCACTGTACTGATCCATCTACTGTTTGCTAAAAACTCATCATAAATGGTCTCAGTGGTAGGGTGGCTGTCAGGATGCCATTCCTAAGGGTAAGAAATGTGGGAGAAGACTGAGGTATGCCAAATTCTAACAGGTCTTACTGAGTAACTAACTCCAATCTGAAAATGTATCTATAACCATCTGTAAAGCATGGTGGAGGGGAAGTCATGGTTTGGGGCTGTGGTGTTGGAGATCTCGTAATCGATTGGCTTATGAACACAGAAGCATATCATCAGATTTTGATCCACCATTTCACCATCCACCACCAGTTGGCAGTGGTTTCACTGTTCAGTATGACAGTGATCCCAAACACACTGGCAGTTACAAGCATAAAACACACACAGGAGCTCTATCAATCATCTGGGCCTCCCCAGATCCCAGACCTCAACATTACTGAAGCAATGTGGGATCGACTTGAGAACAAAAGGCAGAAAAATCCAAAGAAAAGCTTTGAATGTCCTTCAAGAATGAGAAGAAAAGCCTAAGAGAGTTCAGGCTGTGCTGAAGAATAAAGGTGAAAAAACAATGTGCATGTTTGCACGTTTCAATAAGCTGCTGTACCAATTTGTCATTTTCCTAGTAGCATATTTTAAAGATTGCGTTATCTCGAGACTTTTGCACAGTACAGGACTCTTTTCTTACCAATGTCTAGGTGCTTCCCATTCAGATGTTTAAAGTCTGTCCTACTTCTCTTAAGCATGTTATTGATGACAGTAATTTTCTCTTGGTTTTTTTTGTAGCGTTCAAAATGATTGTCTTGTAGCGTAAGACAATCACACAGACTGAAAACACATTTAGCCAGATAATTATCGCTCCACTTAAGAGGCTGAAACTGAAAGTGAGAGTGGTTGTAATGTTTAATAATCACTTGCAGCGTGAAATCTAAACATGGCTTCGACAATTGGTGCTCGGTAAACTCTATGTTCTTTAAACTGGAAAAAAATGTTCAAATAGACTTTGAGTCACAGTTTTACCATCGCTATCAAACTGGTTTAAAAGAAACCTTCAGAATTTCATACATGCGGTGTCGTGTGGATTCAAGAGGCAAAGCTATCATGGATCATCTGTGGTGTACCGAGTCAGACACATTCTTTGCTGCTACTCTGTAAGCACAGACCAAGCATGTAGCTTGCAAAATATTTTTTTAAAAAGGAAAAGAAATAGGCATTTGTATGGTACAGTGGCAACAATCTGCAACATTTATCACGTTTTCCTGAAGCACCGTTCATGCTTCGTACTTTTAATAGGAATGACCACCCCCGACTTAAAAGCAGCCATAGAGGAGAAGCAGCACCATTTGGTGTCATTTTTGGGGTTTACTCCATCAGAGATGATGAGCATTTGCTCTTTTTATACTATACTACTATCAGGAGATGCGTTATCTATTAGGTGCCAAGTCTTTAACACAGGAACTGTTTCTGGCCAGGTCCGTGTGTATCGTTTAGGATTTTGTAGTAAGTGCTGTCACAGTGCCCGGTGTCCATTGTGTGTAAATGACCCTCATGGTGAAGTTCAGAGAGTTCATGTACAGATTAAGTACTTTCACTCTCTGCAGCTGTAAACAGAGGGCAGTGATGCAGAACACCCAGGACGGGCATCAATGTAATGAGCGCACTCAACTCGCTTTTATGGACTCTGCCTTCATAAACGCTGAGAAATGTATTCAGACAAAGTGTGCAGCTTTTTCCTACCATTCAACAGTGTGAAGTGCCAGAAAACACTTGGAAAACACACATTTGTGATTTTAGAAATGATTGCATGGTAGATTCCCTTTCACCTCAGAATGGTTGGATTTAAGACTAAAAAGAACCTGTAGAGCTGTGAGTCTTCTCTCTTTCGTTTTTCAAAAGCAGGAAACTCTCACACCCCATTCAATTCAACTTTTTATTAAAGACATTCTTTTAACAAATATCAATCAGTATTTTTATGCAGTGCTTGATGCAGAAAACGGCTCTTCTGACTGCACATTCCTCACACATCAGGTGACGACTCAAACATCCATGTGACCCCCTTGTTAGGGTGACTAAAAGACCCCTCAATATGTGCTTCGAATTGATCAGCACTGTCCCTTTAAGCAGGCCAGCATGACAGTTGTAAAACTAGGTACTTCCCAGCCACAATGTAGAGCACTACAGGGGCCCAGTCAGGGTGTATCCGTGTCCTCTCAAACAAAAAAAAAGAAAAAAAAAGGGGGAAGTAGATACTACTGAAAACCTTGCAGTATGTTGTGTGTGTTTGCTCCAGTAAGATGCTGTGAAACTGAATCCAGCACGGTCTGCTTCCACCTTTGCATCCTTCCTAGTCAGATCATGTGTCGGTGCAGAAGCTGCAGAAAGATCTGGCCGGCATGGGGGGTCTGCAACACCACCATCACAGCAGCAGCAGAAGCCTGCAAAACACAGGGCAGACAGGAGCGAGTCAGAGTCCCGATGTGACTGTTTGTGGACAAACCTTAGTTTCATAATGCAAGTTATCAAAAAAAACTTTCAACTCTGTAAATGAGCTGTCCTTTCATTATGACTCGGGAGTCAGTGCTAAATTTGCTGTGAAATTCAGATGAGAGCGGGGAAAGTTTAACACTCACACATTTACCCAAAGCTCAGTTTATCTATCAAACAGTACACAAGATTAAGATCGAAGCTTTAAGGTTTCCAGTTAGCACAAGTAAATGATCTAAATAAAGTTCAGCTCTACTCTTCTTTTTGGGAACTATTAAAGCTGCATTGAGCTCAAAGGTGGGGTCACAAAACTGCCAGAATTTGAAAATAAATAGCCTCCTTTTGCAGGTGTCACCTCTTTGTTTTGAGCGGGTTCTTCACACAGGTTAAAAATACATCAGTTCTGACTTCTGGTGAACCCAAATCACCCTGATATGCTTCCTGCAATTAACCTGTCGCACCGCCACATCTTACATTTTATGTCCACAGTGTCCCCTCATGAGTTTGACCCTCCAAAGCCTGGATCTAGCTCATTACACTGTAATGCATTACATACAGGATTGCAGTGTGCTGACAGATTGCTGATGTTTCTGTCCAGACGAGCCAAAACCCACATTAATCAAATCGTACCTGCAATAAAAATGCATAGAAGCAAGTAAGCAGAGATAATCGGCCAATCAAATGACTCAATTATGTCAGCTGACATCAATTAAACAGCGCCAAACTTGAGTTTAGCTTCAATCCCAGACATAAGGAAGTTTCAGTAGCTGAATGTAATCAGTTGTTGTTAAATCTAAGCCCTTTAAAATTAAAAACAAGTTAAAAGTAATATAGATCTATGACATGCAGGACTTGGGTCTCTAGCGTGACCTGCTACACCACCGTGGATATGAATCAGTACAGACCAGAGATAAAAACTAATTTGTGTTCAAGGACATGCAAATAGGGTGGGAAATTCACGTCTTGACACTCAAATCAGTAGATCAGAGGCTGTGACGCCTTCACAAACTACCGTGAGACTGTGTTGAAATGATTGTATAATGCTCTTGAATCATAATTTAACCAATACACTGAGATCTGCTTTTTATTGGCCGGTTATTATGAACATCAAGCTCAAACTAATCCAGTCTAAACAATTTCAAGCCCCTAAACACAGCATTTTCTATACGTTTTGGCCTTTACTTCACATGTAAGGGCATGGAAAATGGAGCTTTTTAAAAAATTCCTGCATTCACAGTGGGTCTTGCAATGTCAGCGGTACACTACTTTATCGCCTTTTTGACGTCAGACTGTCCTCTGTGTTATTGTTTGATTTCTTCTGATTGGCCAGCGTCTTAAAATGGTTAAGGTTGCTTTGGCATCAGATACATTAGTACAGTACAGTCAACGGCGGTTATGGACCACAACCACTCGCGAATACTTGACATCCTCTCTAAAAACGCGTAGAACCCAGTGGCGCCAGTGTCCAGCAGCCTTGCCTCTGTCAGTGCGCCCCAGGGCGGCTGTGGCTACACTGTACCTTGCCATCACCAGTGTGTGAATGTGTGTGTGAATGGGTGGATGATTGTGTATAGTGTAAAGCGCTTTGGGGTCCTTAGGACCAAGTAAAATGCTATACAAATACAGACCATTTACCATAGAACTAATTAAATTTTCCTGGGAGCTCTGTGTTTGGAATTTGCAAATTGGCGAAGGTTTTAAAGAAAAATAAAATACATTTTATTTATATTTTGCTGTGTTTACATTAATATTAATATTTGAACATCAGTAAATACATCAGTGCATGTTTGAGGTATAGTTTTAATTCCCCCCCCCCCAAATTATTAATTTATTACAGTTCATCTGGCTACCTACAGAACTTAAGCCCCTTTTCTATTAGTACCTACTCGGATCGACTCTGCACGGTTCGCCACGGTTTTAAGGATTTTCCGTTAGGTCACAGTACCTGGTATCAGGTACTTTTTAGTACCTTCACAATCCGGGGTTCCAAGCGATTCAAGCAGGTACTAAAATGTGAGATTCGGTCAATGACGTCACTTGATGAGTCATGAAAATAAAAACTGTGGTCCTCCGAGTCTGACGAAAAGCCACAGACCGAGCAGCAGGTATATCTCTACGTCCAACTTTGTTGTAGCGTTTGTGTTGCATACATCACGGGACGCTCAGCAGGATTGCCATGATGACAACCACGCACATGAGGTAGTACTAGATTATAACGGAAAACCAGCCGTGGCGAGTCGATCCAAGTAGGAGTAGATGCTAATGGAAATCGTCTCTAGAGGATAGAAACAAAGTATTGTGATAGTATTGATCCAGTACCTTTACCAGCGCTGGTATCGATCTTATAAATATTTGGATCAATCCGCCCATTTTTTTTTTCTTATCATGAAAGTGTAAAATCCCTGCTTAAAAAAAAACACCTGTAGACAAAGGTTTATTGATTAGACTGTGCACTCCTTTGGAGGCTTTCATCTTTGGTATTACTAGACAAAATTACATTAGGTCCCTAAAAAAAACATCTGCTTTCAAGATTTTGTCATTATAAGATCATTTAATGCACGATTTAATCAAATGTGATAGTTTAAATGGCATTTGCATAATTTTAAATGCATTTCTTTAAAGTTCAAAACACGTTTGCGACTTTTACGAGTTCAAGGATCAAGTGAAACCGAAGCTCTTTGTGTTTGGACAAAGCTTCTAATAAAGTTTCTCCAGCTGTAACTAAATAAACTAATGAATTTGGCGAACAAGCACTCAGGCAGGCAGTTTAGTGTAGCTTCTAGGTATAAAGCTGAAGGCAACATTATAAAAGAAGCAGCACAGTGTTGCTGGGACTGCCACAGTCTTCCTCCACTTCCTGTCACTGCCCCTGATGGGGCATTTACTCAGGAATCTAAATCTGCCAATCACATGATGAAGGCGTTGAGTCACCTTAAGCTTGAGTAGGTTGCTTAAAAGAAAAACAAACCTCCAACAACAACAGTCTGGGACATCACCTTTTTTCTTTCGAATGGAAAAACTAACAATAAACGGTCTTGCTTGTCCATAGAGGGTGTTTCACGAAAACAACTGGTGTAAATATGTCTCACACATCAGAAAACCTTAAAATAATAAAACCGACACCACCACATGATTGGTTGGTGTTAGACGTCAACGCGGCACAACACTGGTGTAATCATCAAAGGTCTGGCTCTAACCTGCCTAACCACTTTCATCACTACAGCCCACAGACACCTGCCAAATTAGTTTTTTTTTAATAAGCAGAAAGGAAATCAAAAAAGATGCAACCAAACTCTAGGTTGCATTTTCCCCTTATCTTTTTAGTTTTATCTGAAATGATAAGCGAGTGAATGTGTGGTGACATCAGATTAAACTTATAGCTATGCCTTAAAAGCACTTAAATAACAGAGGATCTTGTCACGCTGACATATTTGGTGCTTCCATCATTGCCCTGTTATAGAAGCGTTACACGGTTCACACAGTGGTTGGCTCCCCAGGCAGCTGAGCGGTTGCTAAAGCAGGAAAGCCACGTGTCTGTGAAAATGTATTTCCAGCGGGTGACTGAGTGTTAAAAGGAATGTGGGCGAGGTTGTAACCAACACGACCCGGCTGGCACCGTGCCCCACTGCCTATTCACGTGATCTCACCCCTATTTGCAGTTTGGTATCTGAGTGCAGCTGAGTGATCCCACCAGCAGAGTGTCATATGTACCTTTATAGTAAGCATTATGGAGAGGCTGGCGCTGCGTGCTCATATCTGGCTCTGATGGTGTACGGCACTTTCATTTATGCTCTGACGCTATTTATACTTTATAAGCAGCGAACTAACCGCAGGTATAACACTGAGGCATGCAGCCCGAATGACATTTCCCACAGTGACTTTGTTGCACTGCGGGAAATCCCATTCATCTGATGTTGAATAAACCAGGTCAGTCATTTGATAACAGTGGCGCTGGAAGGGAGTCACGTCTACAATAGGTCACAGAGAGAACTAGTTGGCTGAGATCCACCAAAAGTCAAATTCTGCGCTATGAATTCTCAGCAGGGGCAGCACAGTGGCGCAGTGGTTATCACTGCTGCCTCACAGCAACAAGGTCCTGAGTTTGACTCCACCATATGTGTGGAGTTTGCATGTTCTCCCTGTGTTTATGTGGGTTCCCTCCAGGAACTCCAGCTTCCTCCTACAGTACAAAGACATTTACCTCAGTCTTATACGTGGGGTTATTTTGCAGCTTATAAAGTATAAATTGCCTCAGAGCATAAATGAAAGTGCCGTACAATTTGCAATTCTAAATTGTGTTGTCTGTCTCTCTGTGTTAGCCCGATGGATGGATGGACTAGTCAGCGCTACAAGCTGCACATTAGCTGTCAAATCTAACCAATCTTTTAAAAACATTCATTCATTCACAAGCTTCCAGCCTCAC